GAAACGGCAGCACTGACTGCACCCTCCATCCCCTGCCCCCTGCGCCCTTTAGGGAGAGGAGTTAAGAGAAACTGGGAGCAAAGCTGAGCCTGGGAAGAAGGAAGGAGTGGGGGGAAGGCGTTTCTAAGATGTGTTAATGCTTCTCACTGTCCTACTCTGTCTGTTAAGTGTTGTTGTTAGTGTCTGAATTAAATTTTTGTTCTCTTTTCTTCCCCTTATGAGTCTGCCTGTTGCCAGTAACTGTAATGGGTGAGTCATCTCTCCCTGTCCCTATCTCAATTCCCAACCTTTTGCTCTATTTTCTCCTTCCCAGTGCTGGGAGAGAAGAGGGAGTGAGAGGCTGCATGATGCTCAGTTGCCCTCTAAACTCAAACCACAACACCTTTGTATGCAATACAAGCTACACCCCTCAGGTCCTATTCTGATCTGCATTACATCCCTCCCCTTTACACAATTATATTACAATACCTGTCACAAATGTCAAATCGTAATGTCTAGGTAGAAATTAAGGATTCAAACTGCTAACTGTGCACATATAAAGAGATAAAACTGAGGACCAATTTCTGTGACTTAACTTCATACGTCCTCCATCTGCTTAAATTAGTGAAAGACTCAAAAGCAGGGGCCATTAACTTCTGTGCAGTGCCTCAAACTAACAGGGCATAACTCTGAGGGTTGTAATCTTTGCCAGAGCCTCTACCACTGCAGTTTTCCTAACAGTCCTAATAAAAATCCATTTGCAAGAAATACTTCCATGAGGGATTCTGTACTTGATATTCTTTGAAGGTGAGATGTACTACCCTACACATGTTCATGTTTAGCAGTGTATGTGACCAGCTCAAGCAAATTAGCAAGATTTCTAAAAATTTAAGCTCCATCTTAATTGCCTATTAATGAGATTTTAAGGAATCTAGTACTAATAGAATTTAGACAGAACTTTATAGTGTAGATACCTGCTAGATCAATGTTTCAGTACAGTTTTTAAAGATTCTTGCCAAATAAAGGCTTCAATGGTGGAAAAAAAAAAAAGAGTGGCTATTAGCATATTTCTTACTTAGTGAACGTCTTTTTCTGATCTAATGATATACATTCATGACAGGTCCAATTTGGAGTTTTTCTTATGAAGAATGACAGCTGAGGATTCGGTTTTGAGGTTACAATGGCACTTACAAGTAGAAGTGTCAGAGCAGGTTAAGTTAAGGCAAAGTCAGATAAAGGATTTTTACTAGAGGATAAAAAAGTTCTAAGAGTTTGCAGTGCCTTGGGAAAATACAAATCAAATTACATTCTGCAGATCGAACAGATGTCCACAAGAGTTACCTCAAACAAATGACAAGTTATAAAAGTATAATAATCATCAATGATGCAAATATAATGAAAACCAAAATCTTCAACCCCTTCAAATGATCTCCTCTTCCCAAAAGCATTTTATTATCAGTTAAATTAAAGACAGTCTCAACTTGCGTAACCTGGAACACTTGGTGATTTAGCAGCACTTTAAATAAAGATTTGTTTATTACAAAGCCATGCAAAGGTTATATAAAAAAAAGCTCTTCCTATCAGAGACCTCAACTATCTATTTTTACAAAGGCTGCTGAAAGCTTGCTTAATGAGATGTAATTTTTGACCCAACATTTTTTGCTGAGGCTATATTGTTTCAGCTGCTGTCACTAAGTCAACTCAGCACTACTGCTGTACCATTAGTTCCTTTTAAAGTAAGTGACTATAATGCTGCTCCAAAGAATTATGTCCAACCCGAACACTGACAACCTTGGAAAGTCCTTTGCTTACACCTGAGCAGAGAAAGAGAACACGTGTGCAATTAATGCACTGAAGTAGAACCTCCAGAATTTTGGGAGACAAGTAAAACAGGCTGCCAAGAGTATTACTCCTCATATGCCCTGTCTTTGCCATGAATAATCTAACTTTGTAGAAATTTCACAGTGTAAGCATCTTGAAGCTGAAATATACAGGGTTTCTCTCCACTGAAAGGTGAAGTCCATGAAGATAGGCATCACAACATTTACAACAAAAGCTGAATGAGTAGGCACTATAGGAGCGCATCAAGTAATTCTGATAAAAACAGGATGATAATTTAGGGGCACCTCATAGATGTAAAATATATAATGGGAGATGGTTCTTGCAGAATTCAAGGCAACAAATTTAAGAACAATACTTTGGAATGAAGAGGAAGAAAGGATGAAGGACTGGGAAGAAAATAAAACAAAAAAAATATTAACAACATCTAAGAGCAGAAGAAAAACTATTAGAGAACAACATCAATCATGGATAAACACTCCTGGATTAACCTTTATATGTTTTTTAGTCCTACAGTGGTACCCAAACAAAGTTTATCATCAAGAAAATGAATGGTGTAGAGACAATCCATGGAGGTTGTTGTACCTTTTCTATATATTGATATAGAATAAATGTAAATAGGCAGTTCAATTTTTGCTACAACTTCATAGTCAACTAAGCACATTTCCAACTCACCACATAAAACCTTACTACTAACAGCACGTTTTTCATAACATCTTAAAGCAGTGTATGAAATTTAAGTCAAGTGGAAGACCTCCATCTTTGGCACTGTATGGGAAGCACTTAGCTTTCAATATTAAATAAGTTATTTAACCTTGAGGCAATAATTTTATGATTAGATTGTATTTAAAGGCATCTCAGCCAAAGTGTTTCCTATTCATCATGTATTTGATGAATATCAAAGGGCTGGATTTTACAACACTGACAGGTAGAAACTTTATAGAATCACAGAACAGTTTGGGTTGGCAGGAACCTCAAAGATCATCTATTTCCAACCCCCCTGCCATGGGCAGGGATACCTTCCACCAGACCAGGTTGTTCAAAGTCCTATCCAACCTGGCCTTGAACCCTTCCAGGGAGGGGGCAGCTACAGCTGCTCTGGGCACCCTGGGCCAGCGCCTCACCCCCCGCACAGGGAAGAATTTCTGCCTTAGATCTCATCTAAATCTCCCCTCTGTCAGTTTATAACCATCACCCCTCATCCTACCCCCACATCCCCAATCCAGAGTCCCCCCCCACCTCTCCTGTCCCCCCTTTAAGCCCTGGGAGGCCGCTCGAAGGGCTCCCCGGAGCCTTCTCTTCTCCAGGCTGAACCCCCCCAACTCTCTCAGCCCGGCCTCCCAGGGGAGCTGCTCCAGCCCCCCCAGCATCTCCGTGGCCTCCTCTGGCCCCGCTCGAGCAGCTCCGTGTCCTTCTGCTGTTGGGGGCCCCCGAGCTGGCCCCAGCACTGCAGGGGGGTCTCCCCAGAGCAGAGCAGAGGGGGAGAATCCCCTCCCTGGCCCTGCTGCCCCCCCTGCTCTGGCTGCAGCCCAGGGCACAGTTGGCTTTCTGGGCTGTGAGCGCACATTGATGGCTCACAGTCAGTTTTCCATCCACTAACACCCTCCAAGTCCTTCTCTGCAGGGCTGCTCTCAATCCACTCCTCGCCCAGCCTGGATTTGTGATTGGGATTGCCTCGATCCATATCATAAGTAAGAAACACATTCTTCTGTTGGACACATAAAATTTTAGAACTTGCATATAGGTTATCTAAGTATCGTATGTCTATTTTCCTCTATAACTCACTCATAACTTTTCTGGTGTTGTAAGCAATTTAGTGATGGACAAATACATTGTCAATAGGGTTATTTTATGAGAGCAACTCAATTATCCTGAAAGTATTTTTCAGATGTGAAATCAGATAACTGCATGAATTTATTCCAATTTCCCCTCAGTCAAGATCAGACAGATGGCACAGCCTAATTATACCTGGACTACTGCACTTTAGACAATTAATCTAAAAGCCATTCCAAAAGGAAGAAGCAACAAAATTCAGCCAAAATATCCCCTAAAAAGAAGATAAAATAAAAAACTTCAGGGCAGCCAGTTATGATTCAGTAGTTGACTAATCAATCATTTTATAGTAGCAGAAAATTGGTGCATCCAATTTTAAGTTATTTTTGTAAGTACAACTGAAGCTCTAAATCACGGACAATTTTTCCAGACATCATTACTAATCCCAGTGTTGGAACAACGAATAGAAACACTGGTAGCGGTCTTTACCTTTAAGAGGTAGCTTTGTTAATAATTTAAGCAGTAAAGTGTATCAAATTAAATAATGTACTCAACACAGAAATGTGACTGTCTCTTTCACACCACTCTCTATATAGATTAATGAATTTTCATTCATTTCTCCAGATGCTTGGAAGAAAGAAGATTCTACAAGAAGTCCTAAAACTATTAATAACAATCCCATTGTATTCAATGATATTACATAAATTCGTAGAACTGACTTGCATAAAGCAACTGGTTCCTGAAAGTCCTGTGACTTTCAAATATTAAAAACAACTTCTTCGCTATATTGCAAGAAAAATCGTTCTTCTTCCTTTTTAAATAGACATATGCAAGGCAAGCATGCAAACTGCATGCATACCAGTGGCAATTCAATATAACAAACAAGAAAGCGAATTAATTAATGTACAGAAATTAGGTTTGTTACTGAAGCAGTTATAAGATTCTGAAAAAGGAACAGTCAGGTACATTAAAGAGAGAAAATGTTGATCAGGGCCTGGAAGGGAGCCGTTACTATGCATTAAGAATGCCCTACCCACGCAACTGAGAGACAGTAGTGAATCATATAACACATTACATAGCAGTATACAGCTCTATTAAATCTACCTTCAATAGAAATGTGCTAATTTGACTTTTAGGCACCCTATGCACGTGATTAGGCAAACACAATTCATGTAGTACCTGCCAACTATGTAACAGTACCTGCATCTGGCAGACATCAACCAATAGCAGAAAATGTTCTTCCAACTCTTTACACATTTTCAAAGGTGGATCTGGTAAGAAGCTACAGGTGCAGAGGAAGACCTAGCAGCTCCTTGCCTTGAGCAACAACACAAAATAGAAACTAAAACAGTAATCTAAGGGGAGCACACTGGCCAAACAGCATCTGAAGTACACCCTACCACACCTACCTGCAGCTCTTTTACAACCCGCTTGATGAGGTAAGTCCCAAGTTCCACACCTTGCAGTCCCTGCTGAGTCAAACTGATCGAATAGAAAATTGCTGTTGTGATCTTCTCTTTATCTTCTGTTTCTAAAGGTGGCACTTCTTTCACTATGGCCTGGAAAAATAAGAATTAAAAAAAATCGAGCTAGTAGTAGTTATTATGATCACTATGGGGGAAGGAGGCCTTTCTTTTTAACTTTCAAATGTGTTAACACTTTTCCCCTCTGTGAGAAACAACAAAAATCTAATCAAAAAGTAGAAAGAGCTGCTTATCCGTTAGCAAGTGCAGGAAATAACTGTAACATGGTTTAAAACTTTCAGAAGTAATCACAACTGCTTGAACTTTTAATCTCATTTGCTATCTTTTCTTATATATTTCTTATCTTTCTTGCACTTGAGCAAAACCCCAAAATTTCAACTTCTATGATACAGGAGATACACAGAATATCCCTGTAATTTTTAAGTGCCAATTCTCTCATCCCTTAGAAAAATTAAACAAAACCAAATATTCCCAAATTACAAGGAATTAGAGATTTTAAAAGAAGTACATTGAAATTTGAGCAATCTGCTGTGTACTAAATGCATCAGTGACTGTACCTGGATGCTGCTGGAGATATCACTGGTTAGCGCAACATGCAAGACTATCAATGGTTCTCCTGGGATTGCACAGTGAGAAAAAAAGTAGCATCTTCTATATGACCCAACTCGACGCTTCATATCAACCCAGTTTCTAACAGGATGCACAGCTTCAGAACTCAATGAGAAAATAAAAAAAAAAAAGTAAAATTATATATATTTTTTTTCATTTAAAAATAGAGGTCATCTGCCAACCCTACAAGCTCTGTACTTTTCCCACTGATGTCAGTGACAAAACTCTCCTATCAAAAAGGACAATCAGGCTGAAAGTGAAAAAAGTAAAATTCATCAGCAAACTGTGACCAAGTAGCTTTTGAAGTCATATTGCATGCCTACTTTCCTTATTTTTCCCTGGGACATGCTTGTTACGTATCTGAGATTTCACTTCATTTTCTGCTCAGTATAGGATATCTGATTGATCTAACTCATTGCCTGAATCTGAACACACCTCTGAGGAATTTGCTTTCCCAAGCTACAATGTAGTCTGTTAGCACTCCCATTGCCATGACTTCAACCAAACATTCAAAACATTCTTTTCTCTATTACATACTGAAAATCTAGTGTGTTTGCCTAAATACCTTGAGGATTAAGTATAATACTATTAATTATTTTTATTTTGAAAATTTGACTTGTGTAAGATCTCTTTTCTTTGCCTGATCAACATTTCAGTCATGTACTTTCAGAACTCTATTTAGAGATTCATTTTTCTTCAAGCTTTTTATATGACAAAATGCCACACAACATAACCTTGATTCAGTCATCTTCAACTTCATCACTACGACTTTGAGTATTTGACAGAAATTCAGAAGTAAATGTTGTAGATTTTGAGGAAGGTTTATAAAAAAGGTGCTCTCTTCACATATAGTCTACTAGTGATTCTGTGCACTTCACCAGTTCCAGCCAGGACGGGGAGCCTCAGTACATTCAAAGTAAAACATGCTCTTGAGTGTTGGGCACTTCATGCTGCATCACACTTAAATACTAATTCTCCACCAACATGGCTTGCACAGACTGAGGGGAAAAGGTGGTGGCAGTGGTGATGGAGGGAGCAGCAGCACCTCTGGGAGGAAAGGGGGTGGGGGAAGGCAGTGCTGCAGGAATTGAGGTTTGTAGGAAAAAGTAACAGCAGCACCCCTGGGAATGTGGGAGGAGTAACTGAGAAGGCTGGAAGAAAAGACAGTAGTCTACAAATGCAGCATGTGAGCTAAAGGATCAAACTGTGGGACAAATGATCCCCTTCACTGTTCACCTAAATGGGTTTTAAAAAGTGTGCTCCTTAGTGTGTTAAATACAAATATTCCTTAATTATACTTTGCCTATGGTTCGGTATTGAAAAGCTGTATCATGAAAATAGTGGATCTGTGTGGTCACAAGCATTTATTTCATCACCTTGTTATCAACGAGCATTAGCAACTTTTAGCACTTACTCACTGATTTTCTGGAGTACTTCACAAGGTGATTGCCAAGTGACCCGTTCCAGATTTAGGAATCCTGTGGAGAACCACTCTGAAAGCATGTTCTTCAGCACTCCATTCATTTCCTGCAGAAAGAAGAAAGATGGACTTACCTGCTAAATAAGCTAGGTAGAACACAGGAATGTAAGTAAGTAAAGATAACCTTGATTATTTCAAACTACAACACTGGAAGTTCCAAGGAAAATGATGCATCTATTTGAGAAGACTAACCAGTTAACGGTTCAGCTTTCCTCACATAAGACTAAAATAATGAAAATGTTTGAAGACACTGCCGACAGTAAACTGCACACAGGGAAAGGAATATAATGAAAACAATGTAGATGAAAAGCAGACAATAAATGGAAGTATTTGAGCAGTCTTGGCAATAAGGCCGGAGTTGCACAGGTGCTCAGATTTAAATACCATGAAAAAAAATTATGGGAAATGTCACAAAAATAAGGACTTCAATTTCACTTTACTTTCTACCTCTGAATCCAAGTATGCAGCAATTCATGCCTTAGCAAGGCTATTAGTACTAGCTTATTAATATAAAAAAGCAACTCACCAAATTAAAATTTTCCAGTTTCTTACCATATTTTATGAGTCATCTCTACTTTATTAAACTTTTTTTTTCCATTGTCCTTTATAAGAAAGATACAGAATAGCTATTCACTCCTGCACATTCTGCACCATGATTAATACATGAAACTTTCTACTTTTGACAGCTCTCCAAGGCACACAGCATATGTACTGGAGGTGACTGGAACCCATACAGGAACATTTACACACTGGTAAACAACAAAAATGCTTCAGTTTGGACTTTAGCATGGATTGTGCAACTCAGGAGCTGCACATGCCCACTCAGGATGATAAATTGGAAAATTAGTATCTTTCAACAGGATGCAGATAAAATCATAGGCTTTACAGAATTCTTCTTCTCTGTAAATATGAACATTTTTGTGCAAGAAAAAGAAAAGCAACAGCGTAAGACTACGGAACTCAAAAATCACAACAGATTTGAACAGTATGATACAGAATTAAAGCCAACTGTAATATCAAATACTTTCAGAAACATTCATCATATAATGAATTTTATATTGCCTACTAATTTCCTGCTGCCTGTATTATTAAAGATTTTCCTGTCTAAAATTATTTGAGTTTAGAAATTAGTCTTGAACTCAGCACAGCATGAATATCCCTTAAAGAGATTCTAGAGTTTATTTTTCTTTCTTACATTTGCTTTGTATATAGGACACAGTGTGATACCTGCACCAAATTACCAACAACCTGATCAGAAACATAGGCTTACCTGAAACTAACTTAATAACCATTTATTTAAAAACAAAACCTCTCCATCTTCTATTCAGACCTTTATTAAATAGCCACTGCTGTACACAAAATAGACAAAAATTATGCTCCAATGTACTTTAGCTTGCTACATTTAAGCAAAGGAACAGCAGAAAGATATAAATCTATCCAGAAAACACTTAGTACTTAAAACATGCTTCAAAGCTCAGATGTAGTCCCAGGGCTTTCATAAAAAAGCAAAAATATTTCCTATTGTAACCTAACAAAGACAAAAGTTGTTGAGGCACTTGTCAACAGACACACATCAAAGAAGGTTCCTGTTGGCCAAAGTAATGGCTACAAGTATTCCAAGATTGAAAAAAAGGGACAGTTATTCTTTAATTCAACATACTAGAAAAACTAAAATTTTCAAACCTTGACTATGCTTGCAGCCAACTGTGATCAGACACTTCCATCTACACCAATCCACCCAAACTCAGAACCAAATTAACTCCTCCCATAAAAACTCACAGTTGAGAGTAATGACCACAGTCATGGAGTTTGCAATGTAAATTCATAATAAATCCTCGCTCTTTTCCGAATCTGAAGTGCAGATTCAAACTTTCCTTCAGTTTCCCTTTTCCCTATCTACTCCTTCTACACTTACAAAGCTGTGTTAGTGAAATATATAGGGTTTTGTTTAGAACCTATCTTTCCTTATGCAAAATGGCTACTATACAAATGTTTTAGAAGAAAAGTCATTCATCTGCATAGACCAGTTCTGTCATGCATGAAAATTTTGTGCTATCTTTCTACTTTTTTTCAGTAGCATCCTCCAATATATAAGAAAAGAAGAGCTTACTTACTGAAGCATAAATTGACATATACTTCAAATAGTGAAAATGTCAATTGCATTGTTCCAGCTACAGGTAGTATCCATGAACTCTTCCACAAAGTCAACTCTCCCAAGATTTGTACATTTGTCACATAATAAACTGTGCTGAAAGTCTTCTGTCAAATTGTACTTCCACCAGTACTTGTACTACAAGGCTAAACAAAGCCTGTATATGCTACTAAAAAAAAAGTTGTTCAATGAATATGAAACTGAAATAATAATAAAAAAAAATTCACCTTAAGTAAAATTATAGAATAAGCAATCTCCACTGGAAAATAATGGAAGCCACATAATCCATAGCACCAGCATAAAAATAAACCCCTGAAAAAAATACACATATGCAACTACCTGCAACAATTACCACTGAAGAACTGAGAGAAATGAAGGATCACACTAAACAAAATCCACCCCAGGAACGGACAGTCTTCACAATTTTTCACTGAAGCTTTGATTGAAAAATTCCTGCCTTCTCTGTCTCAAGGTAACTGTATCCTACACAACAACAGCGGTGGAAGTAATATTATAGATGACATAAGAAAGGACCAGATTCATCAGCCATGTCAAAACTTTGCAACTAGAATAGTTAAGAGACACATATGCAGTACGCCTTCCCCTGCCTAATACATGGATCTACTGCATATTTAGACTAAGTCTGATGATTTGGGGGGCTTGCCAGACCTACATGTTAAACCTGTGCTGCCTTACTACCTCAAAAAAGCAGGTTATTTCTGTAATATGACATTACTATGAAAAATGCATAATTACTGTTGGCTCAGGGCACCTCAACACTTGACGCACTCTGACAATATATCACTCAACTGCATTTAGAGTAGTTGTAATCTATACTGGCAAAACTGTTTTGGCTGATGCTTCTGGGCTAGTGGATTAAAGAGAAAGCAGCAGGTAGAACAAGCTGTACCAAAATAGAGCCCAGAATTGTCTGCATAACAGCATCTACAAAAAGGGCTCTTTCTGGCACAGGTTAGTCATAAAGGAATTGCATCTCCTGAGCAGCCCAAAGGAGCAGGTACTGCCTTGCAACCTCAACAGGCTTGCATCAGCAACAGTTTTATTGGGAAAAAGCTGAATTTTAGTTCAAGTACTCTCTCATAAACAGATTTGCCTTTTTTTTTTTTTGTTTGTTTTTGTTTTACCCCAATGTGTTTCTCCTATCAAACTGCAGAGGTGTAAGTGTCCTAAACAAGTATATTCTGATTATTTTATCTATTCTGGCTTTAAAGTACTTCCCTTGTGATTCCTTATTTCTGCTCAGCTCTGATGTTTTGAAAAAATTATCATAAATCATTTTGGTCTAATGTCTCTTGGTGCAGTGAAAGTCTCCAGGTATTTCAGGATTGTCTGTTTTGTTTGCTTTTGTAAGGGCACACTGTAAACCAGAAAAATAAGCTAGAGTTACCAGATCTGGGATCAAACTAATAGATTCCTATGGCTCTTGTGTCATCCATCTGCTTTTTGGGACACCATTTCAAGTTGCAGTCTAGCTGCTAGGAGGGAAAGCTGCTGATGGCTGCACTCCTGCTAGTCATTATTTTGAACACACTGCTCTGCATCTATTGGCTGTAAGACAGCTCAGATGGCAACGAGTGACTTGGGAGAAAGCCAGTTATACTACACAGAAGCTGGTAAAAGTGGAAAACACAGGAATCATGCATTTTGCTTCTTTAAAATACCTACAGGCTTAGCAAACATGCTCCATACGATGGGACGTAATGATGCCCAACTGAACTGAAGGCTCCTTTTCAAGATGCAAGACACATTACAGAGCTACTTTAGGTCCAAGATACAGCTGTATAAAAGCAGCACAATTGTAACCAAAGAAGAAAGTGAAGCAGATGTGCTTTCAGTAATGATTTTGGAAGACAGAAATAGTGTTTATGGGAAATTACAACTCAATTCAAATAATCTGTCAGTTGTAAATAATAATGTTTTATAAAACAACAGGGCAGCATGCAGGCCAAAGAATTAGAATAGTTCCAGTTGGAAAGGTCCTACAATGATCATTTAGTCCAACTGCAACTGTGTATGTTGACAAAACTTCTTAGTGTAGAAAGACATAAAACATTTTATACTATCCAAAACTGTTTAATTCAAGTCGTCTGAGCAAAATTCTGAATTGTGTTTAATATCATAGTTTACACTAAGTTTCTGAAAGGCTTCGCTATGATAGTCTGAAGTTAGGGTCTTGTAATTTGTAAATTTAGTGATAAGTAAATTCTTGTTTTAATTTCAGAGGCCTTTCTAGTCATAAAATTACATTTCCAGCATTTAATTAAATTGAAAAAAAGCACACGTTTATTATTCAGCATCCCCATTTTAAATTTGAGCAACAAGACATACTCAGATTATTATTTAAAATTACCAGCTACACTTCAGCTTCTATTAGCTGATCATAAACTGTGATGTATTTTTTTTTCTCATTCCATGTTCTTGCTAAAAAACAGTAAATTACAGGCTTTTTAATCTTCACATCAGGTCTTTACTTATTGGGCAACAAATGGGAAACCTCTTATGAAAATTCATTTTTTTTTTTTAGTAAGAAAAACTGCCTCTCTGATGAGGGAATTATTTAAATTTCCCTCTCAAACTACCAAAAAATAAAATACTCCTTACAATGAAAATTCATATGCAGATATTTACAGATAAGCATAATATGAAACAGCAGTAACTAACACTTGGTGCATATCAAGCATATGGCTCAGTTATTGTTAGTTGCTGGTTAGATATCCGACAGGGCTACAAGAGGAGTATTCTGCCAGACTCAAAAGAGCTGAGTTTTTCCAAGACTTTGGAGTGTTTCATGTTTTCAACCTGATATGCTTCATTTGGGCATACTGACTTAGAGACCTACTCTGATATTGCCAAGTGTTTAAAGGTCTGGTGGCGCTTTTTTTTTTTTTTTTTTTTTTTTAAACACATTAACTTTGAAGTATACATACAGAATATCCCTGGTGAGATAATGAAAAATACACCCATCAGCAAAATGGGATTCAATAATGTGACACAAATAAAAGGGGGGTTTTCTGCTTCTTTATTGGTAATAGTAATTACTGCAGTGGTAATGATATTACTGAAAACTTCCTTGGATCTTGTGTTTTATATTGTTTGATGTCTTATTCCTTAAAAAAAAAAAATAAATTTCATTCCTCCCTCCCCAATTTTGTTCATTTAGACAGTAAGTAAAGTGTGCACAAGCATTTTCAAGTGACTTAATCACCTGTGTATGTTATTTTCCTTAATCTGTTCAACAAACACAATCTAGAAATGCTTCATCAACAAATATCTAACAGTCCAAACTACTTCTGTGTTGATAAGTTTTGAGGAAATAGAAAAATATTTTATATTTACAACACAGCAGTGGGTAATCCTTGTTTTAATAGGTCTTTCAAAATGCAAAGTAAAAACAAAGGGCTGTCTAAGAAATATTTTAGACAGTTTCGGGGGGGAAAAAAAAAAAAAATCCCAGTAAGCCATATAATGCATTCTGTAATTTTCCTCCAGCATCAAGAAGATCCATTTAATTTTATTTCCACATTTCCTTGTCAGTGCAGATACAAATACACAGAAGTTATAAAATCCTTGTTGTGCATCTGTCTTTATGTATGTTAGAATTTAAATCAAATCTACAAAAATTAAATGGCTATACAGGACTTTTGATAGGTAAATACCAAATACTTTTTTTAATAGAAAAATTTCTTTCATTTGTTTCTCTAGTTAAGGGCTTCTTAGGTCTTTAAAGCAAACTGTTTCAATATTCAGATTCTCCATATAGCTATTGTTTCCCATGAGTAAAGAGATATTCTAATCCACTGATGAACCCTCATCAATGAGGCCACAGTTCTTTCAAGGCAGTACGACTGAGTGAAATAAATACATCCCTCTGGTAGGTATGACATCTAACACCACAAATATTTCCCCTCCCCAAAAAGCCATGTACAGCCTACACACAAAATATTCTCCTTTAAAGCCTGTTTTACCATTTCCAGTTACTCTACTAAAATTTAAAAACGCTTTCCCTGATTAAATGAAGGTCAGTGTTCAAATCTGTGAGAAAGCTTTAAGAAAAAAAAAATTCAAACAGAAGTCCAGCTTTAGGTCCTTGTTGTTCTTTCGGAACAGCTGCTATGAGGGGAAAAATACCCAGAACAATTATAGTATTTCTTTTTTTTCTAGTAGACCAATACAAGAACAACATGATTACAGATACACTCTAACTACTGCTTAATTACAGAAGCAGGTTTATTTATAAATCAATTTGACAAAAATGCTATCTTTTTCATTATCTTTTGCCAGCAACTTGAACCTTCCACTGGCTTTTTCTAAATCATATGGAAAGATGAAGAATATTTTAAAAGCAATAGTCGAATGATTTGCTACCTGAAATAATCATGTTGTGAATTTTTCATCTGAGTCCATATTTCAAATGCTGAAACTGAGTAAGCAACCAAGACATAAAATATCTCAAGAGAAAAATGCTGGCACATAAAAAGAAGTACTGTAGGTGAAGTACTTCTGAGCAGTAACAGGAATAACTACACTCAAGAAACAGGTTTTCGGCAAATTTCACTCTGTGCATTGCAAGAACTCATCAGAAAAATCAACTCGTTTATAAAGACACTGGAAAACTTGCATCTTCTTTGGTGGAAGGAAGGAACAGAACACATGAAAAGAAAATGAGAGGAAAAAAATTCAAACAGCATAATGAAAAAGAATTAGGCCCAGCTTTATTGTAATTTAACTTTTCAAACAATGTATTTTGTTCCAGTAGTTTTTTTTTTTTTTAAATTGTTGTCTTAACGTTATCTGTCAGGCTTACAATAGTAATAATTGATTCACATATTTAATAGAAAAGAAAACCCACCTCTGGGACAGATTACAAAGAAATGTTTCTCTTCGCCATATGCCCTGTATGTATTTTTGGCAGACTCTTTGGAAAAAAAAGGCTGTGTAGCTTTAAAAATATAGGTTACCACTAAATTTTTGCCATTTGATTATCACAGGACTTGAGTCAAGAGTACTCATCATTTACACATCCACAGACAGACATTTACTATGTCATAACAACTTGTCACTGAAGATACCAGCAAGTTTTATGCCTTGCTCTAGGTGGCGATTCTGCCTTCTAATAACCAACTTAAATATAAACTTAACTTTATTTGCAGCGTGTTCCTTCTCTTTGCCCAATCTGTCATTTTAAGCATCTCCAATCCACTGTTCAAGATCTGTGGAATTCTTCCAGTGAGGTAGTCACCATTCTTCTCAATTTCTTATAAAGTCAGCTTTTTGAACACAATTTGCCGTACATTGGATCCTGACAGATAGGGCAACATGACTTCTTATTTAACAGACACTGCTAAAATAGTTCAGTGACTGCAGTGCTCAATCTTTCACAAGTCTAATGATGAGACACATTTTGGAGTGCAGTGCAGCCGGGCACATCACGTGGTAAAAATCAGAGCAAGTTAGGCATTCACATTTCTTCATTTACTTTAAACATCACTTCAACTTAGGAAGTGATTTATGAGATGACTGAGGGCATTATGAATATGAGTATACTTTGAAGTAACTGAAGACTACACTGTACCACTTTGCAGTGCATCATCTATTTTGTTAATGATTCAGTAACACTGAAACCAATGGAGAAACAATCATCAGGTAATTTGCATCTTCTTGTTTTAAAATAATACCTTAAGAAATTCAGGCAGACAATAATTCATCATATAGAATAGTGAATCCTGACATGTTAACACTCATCCCAAATTCCAGAGTTTTTTCTCTATCTTTTTTTACCTCTTTCCTGCAGTTAGGGAAACCAGGAAAGAACCACTGTGAAACTGTTCACTACAAGATCCCAAAATATATGTTGTATCACGAGAACAGTTGTCTACTCAAGACATAAATTCTTTATTTAAAAAAAAAAAAAAAATCTAACAACCCCCTCCCCCAAATCTATAGCCCGAATATTCTCCTATATAGTTTTCTCTGTTCTTGACATTTAGCCTCAGAACAAGTAATACAGTATCTCACATCTACAGTGTAAAGTATCAAATTAAATGCACATGTCCTCACACCACTTCCAATGCAGAGACTGTCAAGACCTCCTGTGGGTTGGGTGCTCCCTTGGGTGCTCACAGTTATTCCAACACTTACTTGCAGTAGAAGCAAGTAGATTTTAAAGGCTGAGCAAGACACTTATATCTTGCTTCTGAAATAACACCTTACCCAGACATGCGAGCAAGGGCACTGGAATAGCATATAGTCCTAGGTCTTGGTTACTGTGGAAAACAGATGAGAACGCCCTAAAGGAAACTCCAAACTGAAAAGAAACAGTATCCAGGGTAAATCTTTACAGTCAATAGGTCACAAACACTAATGCAAACCAGGTGTAGCTTAATCCCTCCTGGTTTATGTGCTATTTATCACCAACTCTAATTTTTAAAATATATCACATTTGAAAAATAGAACTGATCGAGAAGTGCAAAAAAGACTACAAGAACAGATATGCAGAACTAAGACCAGTCATATGATGAACCCAAACCTTTAAGAAACATTTTGAGAAAATTACATAATGGAATGCTTATGACAGCCCTTTTATTAATGCTTTAGTTTTGCAGACAATATTTACCTACATTCAAATGAGTTTAGTATGTTTCTGAACATGCTGTATTATTTGACATATATACATTCTGCTGTTTTAGCATGATAGAAATGGGTAGTTTTGTAAATTCTGTTTTTACTTAAGATGATCCAACTGGATGTGGAATCTCACCAATGCTGTTGCTACTTCAGTTATGCAATGACCGTGGTTAATTGACAATACTGACATAAAAACCATCATTTTCTTGTCAAACTTAATTTGTATCTGAATATTGAGAAACAAGTTACGGTCTGTGCACCTGACCAACTTGATGTATGTCTCCGTTGTCTTCCATGAAGTTCTGTCACCTTCCACCACTGTCATCTGATACATCATTCCTTCCTCCACACCCACATCACCTCACTGCACCATGGGGATGTTTGACCTCGCCTATTTTCTACATACTACTGAGCTAAAGCATGACAAGTCCTTTCTCCTGCTGACATTCTTCCTCATTAGCACGACACGGCTGCTACATCACCTGTGGCCCTGTATCGGGCTCAGGAGTCACATCACTCCACGTCACTCCTGCAGCGAGTTCCTGACGCAGCTTGGCAGCCCCAACATCAGCTGCATGATGTCATGCTGCATCAGCGTGGCGCTTCCACCACCCACCCCAGCCTCTCCAGCCACTTCATTTCAGAAAGCCCATCGCTTCACACCATGGGCCGCTCCCTTCCTGAGCTGTCAGCAAAGCCAGCTCCCACTGGTGCCACGACCTGGCACGGTGACCCCAACAGTGGATCAGGTTCAGGGGACGCCTTCCAGCCCCACGAGTAGGAAGCACCAAACCACATCCCTCCCTCTGTTCTCACCCCCGGCTCCATTTCGGAGCCGCCCACCCCCATGACATGACTCACCTTGACATGAGGCCCGTCCACCGCCTTGGTCGCCAGCCCCTCCACCAGGTCGCCCCTCAGCTCCACCAAAAAGCGCAGCCCGCCCTCGAGGCGGCCCAGGTGCTGGAAGAGACCCCGGTACCGGGGGTTGAGGTAGTAGCGGAGCCGGTCCTCGGCCTGCAGCAGGGCCCCCAGCTCCCTCTGCTGCTCCCGGGCCTGCAGCACCTTGTCGCTGAACTCCGCCACCCGGCCGTGGTCCACGCCGTAGTCGCGGGCCAGGCGAGTGAGGAGCTCGGCCCGGGGCGGCCCGGCCGCCAGCCCGCGGTAGTACCTCACGAACTCCGCGCTGCGCAGCTCCGCCGGAGGCGGCGCCTTCTCCTTGGTCTCGTAGGGCGGCAGCGGCGGCACAGACCGGCTCAGCAGCTCCTCCATGCCTGCCACAGAGGCAGCGCTGGAGCCCGCCGAGCCCCGACGCGGGCCCCGCCGTACCGCCCAGGGCCCGCGCCGGAGAGGCCGCGGCCTCAGCCACGGGCCCAGGCGGCTCATTTCGCCTCTTGCGACAGCGGGAGACCGCCCTCCCCCGGGGCCAGGCCGCAGCACTGCCTGCGGTGCCGAAGCAGCCGGCTTATTGGCTGGCACCACAGACTGCCAGCCCTTCTAGCCAATCGAAAGCGAGAAGAGTGTGGCGGGGTTGGGGCAGTGGCGGCCGCCATCTTGAGCGCGGCGCACGAACAAGCGGGTCGTTAAGCTGCCTCGGGGCGGCTACGGCGGCTCTCACAGCTCAAAGATTTTCTCTCCCTGAGTGCGCTTTCCCCGAGCCTTCTCTGTACAACCCAGCAAACCCCTATTTCTCACCTGGTACTCCCATTTTTACCCCACCCACGGCTGTTTCCTTCCCAGCCCATCTGCACCAGAGGGAGAGGTCTGAGGTGACTGGGTGCTAGGTTAGGCATCACCATGAGCCCGTGACCCTGACAGAGTTTGGATGGCATCGAGGATAGCAGTGACATCCAAAAAGGTTTGTCCCTATGGTGTGAGGAGGTCAGCAGGTTTGGGCTCCTGGAAACCTGCTGTCAGTTCGGGCAGCTGAGCAGTGGGGGTATGGGGCTTCCCTCACAGCCCCAGGAAGCCCAGGCCAGGGGTGCTGGCATCTGCTTGCTCAGAAGTGCATGCAGGAAACCGCACAAATTTGATTGTGAAATGCAAGGACACAGTCCTGAAAGTAGGTCCCTTTGGGACCTGCAGCAAAGAACTGCACTCATGAGCCCAAAGTTCTCTAGAAGTGCGTCAGGACTATTGATGAATGAAGCTAAACATACACATACTGCTCTCAGTTCAGTCTTACAAAGATGTATTTGCCTCATTTTGACATTCTATGTGCTCTATCATTACTATTGTTACGTGGCCGTTAAACCAAGCAAAAGACATAGGTCGGATTCATGTCAGTGAGATTAGAATTGATCACCAATTGTTCGGACCTTCAGAAGCACAGGGAATTCTTGATTCTCAACATTTGAAGTAAGAATTGAGGCAGGAATCAAGCCCTCTCTACCAGTGCAGAAACAAACATAAAAACAGAGCACTACCTAATTACAAGTTTCTACAACAGTATGTTACAGATTCCCAAGGAAGGGTGGGGGAAAAAAAAACAACACCAAAAAAAAAAAAAAAAAAAACAAAAAAAAAAAAAACCTAAAAGCTAAGTGAGCTGTATAGCCCTGGGGAGCTGAGGGTCATAAGATTAGCTAAGATACCCTTAAGAGAGGGAAAGCATGACTAAGAACCATTACAATATATGAAAATTCTATTTGAATCCCAGAGGCAATGAATTAAGTTTCAGAAATTTTCTTAACAAGTTTTAAACTTAATTTTCAGCAAAAGTAAAAGCCCTCAAAAGTTGGCTTGTTAGTCCTGCTTCACCTCTACAGGAAACAGGCTGTCAAAGAAAGCTTCTGTCTATGTCAGATTCCCAAGCTAATATTTTCAGAGACAGAGGAATGGGTAAGTAAGATCTTTCACCAAATAACATGATGCTGTTTGTACATGCACTGTTTATAGACAGCAATACTGCAGTTTTAAATGGGTATCCATTAGGCAAATACATATTTTTCCATTTGAAAACCAAAATAAAACCTTTGATAGCAATGCTTCTTGATAAGAGGTGGACAGACTTGTTTTTCTTCAATAAAGGGTAGCTAGAAATTGAACTTTTCCTTGTATATGTTTAATAATTATCTTAAATCTGGGGTATTTGTTTATCATATATATGATTATATAATGAACTTCTTTACAACCCATTATGTAAACTTGGTGAACATAACCCTAAAAACTGTGCTAAAAGTCTCCATGAGCCTAGTTAGTCGTTGTGGCAGTTTTGGTTAGTGCACATCAGCTTCTGAAACCACTAGGACAAAACAGCTGCTTTTGAATCAAAGGCCAGAAAATCTAGATACCCTTATGCACATATATATTTACATGAAGACACATCGGTATGTCTTTAGTGTCTTAAGACATTCCTGTAACTCTGTGTAAATTAATCCAAACATTATGGCATTTACAAAAATATTTATAGAAAGCCTTATGCACCAGTTGAGTTTCTGTATGATACAGAGATTCTGGAAATTTCAAGAAGCCAAAGATTGAGATGTTAATACAGGGAGTGTGGTGATGGAAGCTGAGGGCTTACGACCTCCCAGGAAATGGTCAGCATTTCTCAGGATCAAGTCCAACATTTCTCGCTTGTAAAAATCCTGCATAGAAATCACTTCTATTCTTTTCATTTTGACAACCCTCTCAGATTGGCCTTGGTTATGATTCTTACAATAACAGTTCTCTTGTGTAACCCACAGGCCATAAAAACTAGCTACCTATATTGTTCATTGACAAAAAAACGTGGTGTAAGTTATAAGGCTTTGTAAAGTAAGACATTTCTTTCGAAATCTTCTACTGCTGCTTTTTTTTCCCCAAGGGAAAACTGTTATCTGCTTCAGCTGCTGCTTGAAAAATGAAAACACATCTTTTTCTGTCAGGACTTGAGGGCACTAATAGACTTTAACAACCCTGACCAGCCTCACCAGGGGCCTTCCCTCACACTCTCCCATGGGCTCAGGAGCCCCATTTCAGCTCAGCCTGGGGGGGTTTCAGTCCCTTCCTGAGTTGTGCTGTAGGAGTGTGGGTCTCCAGTTCAGCCATGGCCATGCCTGTGAGTGTTTGATCCCAAACTCCAGACTTGCTTTCTGGCCTGACTTTGGGTCTGCCTTGATGCTGTAGACATGCCTAGCAATTACTGGGCTGTGCCTGACTGATTTCTGTTGTTGGGTCTGATCCTCACTCATGTTCCTGGCTTGACCTTACACCATAGAGTTGTCTGTTGATCTGAACTCTTGGTTAAACCTGGCTGCTGCCTGGTCCTGCCCTGCTCACCTTGCTTGGGTACGGTGGGGCTATGTCACCATGGTTGGTTCCCTGACCCCTAGGGAGCAGCCAGCTCTTGCTTCTCCTTGACACTCCCTACACATATGACACCATCAAAAAAAAGGTAGATAAGGAACTTGTTCACATCCAATAACTTATTTTTTCTTGAAATAACAAAGACCTTGCTAAACTTTGGAAATGAATTTATTATATTCTTATCAAGAGAAAATTTTTGGGGCTTTGTTGAAAACGGAATGTTATCAGAAAACTGAAGATTGAAAAGAGACTAATTACACTTCAGTAATTGTAACTTTTGTCTCCAAGCAAAAAGAGAAGCATATAAAAGAAGGGAAGGCAATCTGATTTTTTTTTTTTCCTTTTCCTCTTTATGAGAATGTTCAAATCTTAAGTAAAAATAAAATACATGTCCTGGTTTCTCTACTCAGTGATTCCACTGTAATGAAGATAGACTGATTTATGCTAGATGTGAATATAGTCCTGTGGTTTGTGTTTTGTTTTGGTTTTTTGTATTTGCACTTATGTGTAGAATGCCATAACAGTATATGTAGGACAAGAATCTTAAATGAGAAGCAGACTGTGCTGCTATTAAAAAGAATAGCAGAACTTCATTTATCTTCAAAGGAAAGAAGCTGGAGCCATGGAGCCATGCATTTCTAATAAAGTATGTTTGTGTCTGCAGAGTGTTCATCCTAGGGAGAGTTATAAGGAAACAGTACTCCCCACCTATCATAAAGGTATCATGACTAAGCGTTTATTATCATGTGTCATAATGGGATCTATAAACAAATTTTCTTTTACTAAGCATAGTTCTTAAACTAAAGATTTATTTTAAAATATCTATTAGAAAATATTAAAAATACCTATTTGTTTAATTGAAAACCTGCCCTTTTCAGGTTGATTTTAGGACAAAGGACTCTTCCTCTGTTTTTCTTTCAAGGTTGGGGAGTTAGCAGTGCTTACGGTGTCATAGCACAATAGTAAGCTGTGTTACAAGCTCTGAATGCATTTTGTAATAGCTTAGAAAAGAGTTTGTAAAATGACTTTAAATGAGAGAGTATCCCATTTTGAAGATTTCATAAATTTCATAAGTTATTGGAAAAAGCAAATCTGCTATAGTTACTTAGTAGAATGCAGGACCTTTTCGGCTTTCACACTGGCTCTTCAATTATTTAGACACTCCAGACAGGCAATTGTATATGGCGATTCTGAGGCTTGTTTTGTTACAACTCCCAAAGCTGTCCATTTAAAATTAGATCGCAATGTTCAGTTGTCTGAGCTGTAGCTAGTGTTTAGCTTTAATCTTAATTTTAGATAAATATGATATTGGTTTATAGAATTATCTGGCTTTAAGCATGAGACATACACAGAGGCTATAGAGTAAATTCTGTGCTCTCAACTGAAGGATTTTGTTAGAGTTCTGTTGTAAGGCTGGCTGGGTTCAGTGTTTCATTCCTGATCCTTCAGATCTTCAAGTGCTTGCTTAATTTGTGTGCAGTGAGTTGTTCGTTAAGTAATGAAATGAAGTACTGAACAAGATAGGTGTCTGTCTTTGAGATCAGATCATGGTAATATTTGTTTCAAGTGATTAATCTTTCTATATTGAGTAGTTCTCTGAAGTAATGGTTATGAAGCTAAGGATTTTTATTTATGTGTCTGTAGAATCTGGAAGTTTTATGATAAAACTCTAGTTTATATGTCTTACTTTTTCTACCAACTCTATTTATAACTGACAGTGGACTGAATATATTTCTCAGACCCAAATGTTTTATTTTTTTAAAAAAAAGAAAATAAATGCTCCTGGAGATTTTAAGAAATGTCTTTAAGATTTCAGTATATAGTTAAAATGAATGTGGTACTTTTTTATTTTAAGTCATGGGTCCTAAGTACAATGTTGGAAGTTGCTAATGTTCATATGAATTTTGACTTGATTTGCTTTATTGTCTGATGGTTGATTTTGCTCTTACAGGGTTTGATAGTAAATAAAAGTAGAATATAGTATAAGGGTTTATATATAAATGTACTTCACACTTGTTACCTCAGAATCCGTATAATTAGCACAGTGATTGGCAGCATACAGGCTTCAAGCTGCTCTTTTTCCCCCTATTAATGTTGGGCTCATGAGAAACAGCAATAAAACTCTAACTTCCGTTTTAGT